AAGTTAAGAAAATCAGTTCAGCATAAAGCTTGAAAAGTTTATCATGTTTATAGGGGATTACCTGAGGATGCTTCCATATGAATACACATGTATAAGAAAATGCTAAATTGGTGCTCTTGAGCAGAAAATTAAAAAAAAAATCTCTACATCTTCATTTGTAAAAATTTTTCCCCCATTGTGACCCTTTCATATCCCCGAGAGTCAATTAAGATTTATCAATGAAGAAACTTAAATCTACACATCCTGAGGATGCTTTCTGAATCCTTAATTAATAGCTAAATAAAACTTTGTTGTTCTTGATAAAATGATTTTTTTACTATTAATTATATATTCCTATGTTGATCCCCCATTGTGAACCCACCCGAAACCCAGGAACCCTTGGAACTATAATGTTATAAATAAGAAAAGTTTCTGCTAGCTAATTTTTAAAACCACATTTATTTTTTTTTTCTTTAGATTTCTTTTGGATTTGCAAACTGGTTAAGTTTGGAGATATCATTTCAATCTGAAATTCAAAAATTGCAGCAGAGTCAACAAAGTGGGGAAAACAAATGATGAAAAAAATGCAATGGAAAGAAAAAATTTAAAGCAATTCAAAGAATAATGCACTGGTTCCCTGCTCTCTGTGTCTTAGTGACTGGGATGTCATTTTTTATAATATAATGTTTGAAATATGAAAAACCAATCATAATTTATGTCAAAGTGATCACATGGAAAGTAAAAATTCTTGAAAGTTAGGTCAAACATGGAGGTCAAGGTGTTAAAAGCCATAGGATGATCAGAAACATCTTACTTCTAATAGGCTAATTACTTAGGATAACATTTTTGAAAAATTAGGTCAAATGTTACGGCCAAGATCATACGCTCAAAAAGCATAATATATTTAGGAAAGTTTTGTCACAAGTAATATAGACTTATGTAATATGGAAGCCCTATCTAATTTCTCTTGCAAAATTCATCATTAATTTAAAGTAATTTTAATATTAAAAGTAGGTCAAATTTCAAGGTCATTGGGTCAAAATTTATAGTATACTAGAAAAATGTCTTATCACAGGTAATCACTATTGTACATGCGAAATCCCTATAGGCTATCCCTTCTAATTCAAAAGTTATGAGTATGCAAGGTTATCATGTTGGACTGACAGATTAATGAAATTCCATAATTCCCACGCTTTCGCAAAAACAGGGGACAATATTGACATCTACAACATAAAGGCCACCAGAAATTACCCTCAATCAAATTCATAACATGTAAATACTTTTTACTTACATCACTCATCAGTTTTGTGCTGATATATCTGTGCACATGTAAACACAGTTACAACTTACATTCGTTAACAAGACACTGACTGCAGAATTCAAATGGACATTTTGTGATGTTAATGGAGTAATTCACACACGCTAAATCAATCGAATGATTTTAAACTTGCGTGAATTAACCCTTGTTAGAATAAAGTTAACTTCTTACTTTCGTCTTCGACAGGTGGTCTATATTTATAAAGCGTTTCTCTGACTTCGACTCGAAGTGCACACTAAAACCCGCACATATCATGCAGATTGATAATCCATCTGCAGAGTGCATATCCAACTGTTCAATTTTCTTTATGTGAACTTTTCTAATCTTTTCATATTAACTGCCCAATTCTTGTCTAAAATTAAATTAATAAATGATTAATATTTTTGTGTGTGTGTCTGCATAGAGGGTACGTACATGTATTAGGACCGGTATATAAAAATTACATTTTCATATCAGCAATCTTGCTACAGTTATACACGTAACGTTTACATATCGTGGTATTTTTGTTGACATCCGTTTATCAATTAATTTCGCAGTAAACTTGGTAAACAAGATCTCAAATACCCCCCCCCCTCCCTTTCCGATCGGTCTGTTAACATGTAGTGGTTAATTTTTAAATTGTAAATTTTTAGACAAGGAAAGTAGATATGCCAGTCAGTCTTCAAACTTACATGTTTTTGATAATGATAGGATGTAAATGATAGGAATATCAAAGTCTAAACCATTAAACAAAAGTCAAATTTCTTACCCATCCCCCGTTTATCTTATAAATCGATTTATGAACTATCATACCATTATTTTCATTTTACATTACACTCATTTATCAGTTTATATTTATTGAGAAAATTTAACTGTGAAACTTAATATGCTTAACTTATTCATAAACATAATTTTATAAAACATACGTTGATGTATTTTTCATTTTCATGATTTTTGAAAAGGATTTCAGTCACTCTCAATAAACAATCTAATTAAAATTAGATCCTTTACGCTCCTTTATTTTGTTATGTCGCTGTAAGGATCTAACAACTCCCCGTCCGAGGTCACCTCAGAATGAACTTTGATGAAAATCAGTTAACCAATGAAAAATAACCAATGACGTCAACGATCGACCAATGAGAAAGTGTTTGTTATAGGCTTATCGCTCGGTGTTTAAAAATGGCTGCGCCCATAGAGAAAGTTGCGAATTCGCTTAATATACAGTTGAAGCCCCAACAGCTGGAAATTTTGCAGAGTCTGCTTGATGGTAAAGACTGTATGGCGGTTTTACCAACTGGATTCGGTAAATCACTACCTTATCAACTTCTTCCGTTGGTACAGAGGGAAATCGGCGAAACTGGGATCGTTCTTGTTTGTTGTCCCCTTCTTTCTTTGATGAAAGATCAGGTCGAGAGAGTAAATGCCATTAAAGGTGTAACGGCAGCATATAAAGGTATACATTAATATTTTGTACATTTTTTTTTGGGGGGGGGGGGTCTTTATGAATGAAAAGTGAAAATGTAGATTGAAATAGCTAAATAAATCTTCATGTCAGAGGTAAATAAAGCTACAAAGGTAATTCTATCTGCTATTAGCTATATGTACTTTCAGATTATATTACACCTGGTAATTTCTATTCAATCTAATTTTTTTACTTAAAAGAACCTATTCATGTTCAACAAAAATGATAAACTGAAACTTATCATAGATATTTTGTGACTTTAAGATATGTCTAATAAATTATAAAGCATTTTGTCCAAGAGAGCCCTTTTCTTCTACCTTATATAGTAAAACATCACAAAAAACTTCTTTGGTCTACACTAAACATTTATATGCCTGCTTTCCTAAGATCACCTGCTGCATGTTATTCACATATTTAAAGCATTCCCTACTTTTTCAGGTCAAGGTCTAGATACAGAGATTTTAAGTGGCAAGACCGACATCATATTTGGAAGTCCGGAGTCACTGTTAGGTGACTGGCGGACTGAATTACAACAGCTCAATGTCACTACAATTGTGATAGATGAATTTCATCTGATATCCACATGGTAAGGTTTTTTAAACTTAATTTTATTTTTGAAATATGTTCAAAGAATTCTAAAGTGAATGTTAAAAATATTTCTCAATCTGCTTCATTGTTTTGGTCGTCAACTCTTATTGTAAAGTTCTACAAGTGTATTAGCTCACCTGAGCTGACATTATTGGAACAGAGATGCTGAGCTTGTCTGTTTGTAAACTTTTAACATTTTTGATTCATCTTTTTTTTAAATCATGACCCTGGGGGGTCAGGTAGGATAGGGCCACATTATGGAAATTCACAGTCAGAAATATGTAAATAGCCTTTGTTTGTGTAGATTCATTTTTTATCAAATCATAATCTTGCAATATTGTCCATACTAAGGCCTCCTGTTTATGACCATTAAGCCCTGTTTTGGTAATAAATCCTTATCTTATTTATTCATATATTTCAGGGGACAAGATGATGAACATTTACACAAGAAAGCATTTAGGAAATGGTTTGGTGCTCTTGGAGAATTACGATCCATCTTTCCAAATGCATCACTGCTTGCCCTCAGTGCCACTTGCACATTGAAAGTACAGAAGCGTGTTTTGAAACAGGTATCCTTTAAGCCAGATTTTACATTTGTGTACATGTCACCGGACAAAAGAAACATCAAGTATGTTGTAAAGAAAGTGGCAAATGACATTGAAATGGCAATGACATGGTTAGTTGATGGACTGGTGAACATGGGAAGCCTTTTTCCAAGAACACTTATTTATTGTAAATCAATTAGTGATGTGGCAAAGATTTATGATTATGTGACAGACGAATTGCCAGAGGACTTGTGCTCACACATAGCTATGTATCATTCAGAGACTGAAGAAGCTATCAAAGAAACTGTGTTATTGTCCATTCGGGAGAAAGACAGCCCCATAAGAGTTATCGTTTCCACTAACGCTTTGGGTATGGGGGTGGATTTTAAAGATCTACACAGCATTATTTTATTTGGTCCTCCTCATTCTATACTTGAAGTGGTGCAGGAAATTGGACGTGCTGGGAGAGATGGCGAAAAGTCTGTGTCTTTGCTTCTTTATAATTCCCATCATCTTGCCCGATGTGACCCAGAAGTAAAGAAACTTTTTAAGAGCAAGGACTGCCGAAGAATACAGATGATGGAATCATTTCTTAAGGAAAGTGAACTTGATAAAGTGAAATCTTATGCAGGAAATTGTTCATGCTGTGATATATGTCAGAAGAACTGTTTATGCGGGGATTGTTCTCAACTGTCATTGGAGAAATTGTTTTTAGGGAATCAAGTGACTCCTCCTGATGAAAATGAACTTTCAGAAGATTCCGATTCTGGCGAATAAACTTTCTTGACATAGGAAAACAAGAAATCTGTGAGCCATTGCAGTGAAAATTTATCAGGACAGACAGCCACAAATATAGACACAAAAACTAAAACGGTATACCTCTCTCCTCCTTGGTAATAATTATGGGAAACGCTTACTAGTATTATTTCATCTGGTGTACATGATATATTTTATGATGTAATTAAATGTTCAGTAAAATAATCTACATTTTAGAGTTATTAATAAATATCTCTACAATTTCAGTAAAATCATCATGAATTGATCATGATTTTTTTAACAAGTCTAGACATTAATTTGGTCTTGTTATCCATGTTATCATTAACTTTGAAATTGAAAATCCCTATTTTGATCTTCAAGTAAAAAGTCAACACCACACACTGATCTATCATCATTTACCAAACAGGGGTTGGCACAAAGATTTTTCAAGTCAAAACTTTTTGCCCAACATGAACTTTAGATTTAGAAAAAAAAGTATGAAAACAATTAACAATCACAAATACTTTTGACCAGTTGTGGAATTTTATTTTTGTTGTATTAAAGAGATGTCCTCTAGCAATAAAATTCACTAGCTCTGAGCATTTAACTGTAGGATATGCCAGCCCCTGGCAGGAAAACGATAATTACACATGTATGTCACATGTGCCAAAAGAAGGTATTATTACTTAGGCCAGAAGAGAGTATACTGGGTACTTGTTTCCTGACCCCCCAAAAATATTAAAAAACTTATTTTCCAAAACTCAATAAATTTTAAACACAACAACACTAAAATTAAAAGTTTACAAAGCAAGTTTGTTCATCAAGATTTAAGAAGTAAAGGTATCCTATACATGTGTGATATATTTTCTAGATTCTTAGAAGAAATTTCAGAAACATAAAAAAAAACTTATTGGGTCGGATGGTAAAATGTTGGGTAGGTCAGGTTACAGGAACCAAGAGAATTTTTTTGGCCTTGGTAAATAAAAGCAAGCAGAGTTACAAGGTTAATAATTATATATATATATATACTGAAATTGTTGAATACAGGAAAAAATGCATTTTTGAAACTAATATTTATAGCCCAATGGTGAAACATTGCATAAAATATTTTCACTGCACAAGTTCAAACATTTAAGAATTTAATATTTAAATCATTTATACAAAATATAGACACACTTATCAAAAACGTCAATGAAGTTATTAATCTCGGACTCATGCCTATGATGCCACTTATAACACCTTTCCTGCTTTAAATGCATGTAGGTATGTCAATACATAGCAGACTACTAAGACAAATGCTCATTGACTAAATAACCAATAAGGTATGCATCACAATTTCATAGATTCTCAGACAAATGTTGACTAAATAATGAATAAGGTATGCATTACAATATCATAGTGTAATGGAATGGTGAATTCAAAATTTACAGTCTCGTAGTCTTCCATATGGCGACCATGGTCTATGGCGATGCAGCATGGTTGACAAGCCTTGGGAACAATTGGAAAATGGGTTCCTGTCTAAACCAGTTGTTTTTACTTTTAACTTCCTGTTTTCATCTATCTGTAAAATATTGTTCTCCAGTAAATCCTTTACCACTTTCTCAACATCAGTTGCATAGGATGGAAGATGATGAAATCCTTTCCTTTGACCAAAATCACCTGCCTCCTCGAATTGTTTTGTGAATTGAACGAGCAAAGGATACTCTTTGGAATGTTTTAGTATACTTTCCTTGGTTTTGTGCCCAGTACAAGAGGCTTTGCTGTCTCTATTCAGCATTTCAATGTACTCATCCAAAGCAATGTTGTTGTTCTTGCCTCCTTGGATATTTACAAAGCGGTTCACTATAAATCGTTCCTCTTGGTCAGCATTTAGAAGTCCTGAAGACAGAGCTGTGGTATGAATAGAGCAAATGGAATATTTGATTTTATTTGTTTTGTGGTAAATTGGAAGCTCATACTTTGCAGATCTTACACATCTTCCCCCATCCCCCATATCTACAGCACTGTCAAAGTTACGGTGAAGCATAATGAGTTTAAAAAGCATCAACACATAATCGTGTAGTTCATCACTGCTGCATTTGCTCTTTTTCTTTCCTTGACTTAAAGAAACATCATGTGTTCCTGACTCGTGCGCTTTCAAAGAACTCACTCTTTTATAATCTTTTTCACAATGATGACATTTAAAACGACCATTTTCCAATGTAGAAGTCCAGTAGTTTTCCTCATGCTGAGGATTTTCAAGAACACTCCTAATTTCCTCACAAATATCTTGGCCATCTTCAAAGAACCATTTTTCCACCAGCTCCCTACACACATCATTCAACCACTGAAGGCTGTCATTGGGTCTCATTTGTGAAAAATCTGGAAGTGGAAGATCATTCATATCGACTGACCCTAGCTTGTCCATAAAGAGCACTACACAGATGGCATCAAGAATAGTATAATACAGCATCTTGTATGCTCTGTACGCATTCTTTACTGGTCCTTTAGCACTTCTATGTCCCAAAAGGTTCCTGTAATAGTGGGCAGTACATGGGTCACCTGCCATGCTAGTGCTGTACGTCAGCTTATAAATGGCCTGCAAAATTAGAATTAATAAAAAATTTTCCTTTAAAAAAATTTTGCATCTAGGAAATAGGAATTCAATCCAATAGTTTAACAGAACATAGTATATGTACCCAGTATTTCGTTTCAAAAGAATTTTTAAAATATTTATTCAAACGAAGTTATAACAAAAACCTTCTTAATCTGTAAGAAGTAAATCGGTAAGCAAATATTCATTGACTGCCTTTATAATAACCTTTTCTTTTAAAGAAAGTATCTTATAAGATATTTATTGTATAGTATCTGTAATGATATGGGCAATTTTCATTTAAATTTTACTTACTTCGAGAAAATTCATCAATCTGTGAAAGTCTTCTGATTTTGAAATGAATCCCTCTAGTCGTCCTTTTGATGTCAATGAATCCTTAAGTGCAACCTGGGCACATTGTATTCTCTCATCAGTGAGACGATCGCCTTTAAAGAAGACACAATGGCTTTCAAAATGTTGCATCTTTGGTTGCTTTAGTTCATGATCAAAGAATATAATGAAAACCAAAATTGTTAATATCTACAGTTAACATATCTTGGAAGTATTTAAATGCCTAATTGACATACCTCCAAAGAAAACAGCATCAACAACCTCTTCATTCTCCAATGGGACATACAGGTCTGTCAGATGCCTAAGGAGCCGAATCACTTCATCGGTTTTATTTTCATTCGTATCAAAGAGTCCCAATGAATACTGAAAAAAAAAATCAGCTCTTGTTAATCATACATGTATTACCTGTATTTACAAGTTGTAAATTTAAATTTAAAAAGTTTAAATGTGCATCTTACTTGTGTTGTTTTTATTCCTGCGAAAGCTGAATGTTCATGATCCAAATGCTTCGGAAAAATTTTCTCAAAGTGTTTTGACACTTGGGGAACATGTCTAATTATGGCTGAGGCAAAAACAAATGTAAGCTCCTTCAATAACTGTGTTTGTTCAAGAAGAGAGGGGATGTATGTGATGTTTTCTTCATATCCACTTGACCCCACTGGACTCGTGGTGCTGTACCTGTCAACAATGGCATAGATTTGGAACAAATGGAGACTCTCTGTTTTTCTCTCACTGGTTCGATACGAAGGTAGAATGTCTTTGTCCCAATTGTCACCCACCAACTGGTATTTTTGGGGAACCTCTTCCTTGTTTGTCCATTTTATCTGTAAATATTTAATTCTGGTATAGCATGTTTTTTTGGATTGACGGAACAGAGATTTTTGTGTGACCAACTAGCCAAAAATGCTTCAATCTGCTGATAACACTTCAATATTGTACAATCTGGAGGCTTTTTTGAAGAGGAAAAAGTTAGAACTTTATACTAGGTTTAATTATAAAAAATAAATTGTAAGATACGAATTACCCAGTAATCAGCTACTCAAGATATACTTGTAATTCTATTATCTTTAATTTGCTGGAACAATTAATGCTTTTTAATAAAAGCAGACCTTACATTATATTTATTTATTTTGTGAATAAATGTAAACTACTAGTACACCTAACAGTACTTTTACAGTTAAACTGTTATGAATTTGTTTACATGTGTTCACTTTAAAAAAAAAGTTGCAAAAAGCAAAACCTTGCTGGAAAAAATTTAATACCTTTAGGGTTTTGAGTTCTTCATCCAACTTATCCTGCCAACTTGTCAGTTTATTGTGTAGTGTCTGGGGATGAACACACAGTCCAACCTTACAAAGTGATTCAATGGTCTGTAATAAAAATAACAGTTTAGGTTTTATTTGCCTCACTTCAAACAAAGCTTATAATTTTAATTTATGAAAGCTGAGGGAAAATAACCTAAAAATGTAGAATCATCCCCTCAATTGCACTTACTCTTTGAGTACAACCACCACGAGCAAGGATAAATGCTGTCATGTAGTGTAGAGCAGACATTTCTTGATTTCTGCCATGCAGACATATAGCACTGGAGAGCATCACATGAAAGAAGGGTTTGCTGCAAATCACTGGGGGAGGATTTTGCACCATGGATGATATTATAGAAACAGTATGAGGACATCTGTTCTGAAGGTCTTGACACAGATTCTCCCACTGAAAGTTAATGAAATCTTCATAATCTTTCTTTTGAAGAAATGAACCAGACCCTCGATGACATATTTTGCGGCACTCATCCTCCATTAATTTGGCCACTGCATTCACCACAATGTCGGGATTTTGCTGACACAAAGTGTTCACAATAGTCTTGTCTACATTTTTGTTGTCTACTATTGCTTTACAAATAACTTTGTGTGAAGGGGATACAACAAGCACAGACTTTTTCCCACTTGGATAATTAATAGACACCTACAAAGAACCAATAATACAGATATAAAAATTTTAATCCTATTTTGTCCTTAATACAAACCAAATTACCAAGTATACTTAAAGACTTTATATTTGATGCATGGCTTTCTTTTGAGTTTTTGAACAGATTAATTTTCCAAATTATTAGATTCAATTTTTTACTTCTCAAAAAGAAATATCGATATAAATATTAATTATATTAATTAATTTAATAATCAATATGAATATTAATTATTCTATATATATATATAGAATTATTGTTTGAATGACTTATATACATGTATATCTTGGTAGGAAGAAATGCAGTCTTACCATATCAAGCTAACCATGGAAAGTTGTAAACTGGTCTGAACAAACAGGAAATTCTTGAAGTAATTAACTGGAAATAACTGCAACAAATTCAAAAGTAATAACCAACAATTGCAACAAAAGGCAATAACGCTCATCTGATTCACCAGTCCATGCACCTGCTGTCCTTCAGAAAACAGGTTTTATAATTTCCCTAATATATAATTCCTTTCTATAATTTTGATCCCTTAGTGTGGACCCATCCTCGCCCCTAGTGACCATGAATCATTTACAGCCATACTTTTGATGGGATGTGGCGAATATGGGTCCTCACTAAAAGTTTCGTCTGTTCATTTAAATTTATCAAACATGAAATTCACACATAATATATGCATGTAAATCCCCTTGTACTTTATAGATCTTATTAAAAAGTTACTTAGGCTAAAAAAAAATAATATGTTTGTTTCCTGTACCATTCACAAAAAAACAAGGGTTGGGAGCTTGGGATTTTTTGTAATTTTAATTTTTTTTTGCATACGAATGGTCAAACATCCCCAAACATTTCATGTCTCAAGTTAAGCTACAGTTAATTTTTTTAAATAAATGGAATTAGCTGATTGATCAAATACTGTTTTGCCATTTGGAAGAAACAAATCCACCTGGGGTAATTTAATTGAATGGGTCAGACGGGTCACAGCTAGGAAACAAATATACCAGGTAATTTTTTCTAAGCCTTATGTCAGATAATAAAACTTTTCATTTTATTGTGGCCTAGCAGACCTACATATACACCACTGGGGCCATCAATTGAACAAAATTGAATCTACACTTTTTAAAGACAAATGGATGGATGACTGACAAATTTTGATCGAAAGCTCTCGAGTCTGCTCATGTGAGGAAAATAACAAAACATAAAATAGAAAATTTGATTAGGTCAACCAAACAGTCATATGTTCAAAATGCTAAATATTATATATGTTCAATCTCTTGAAAAATATATATAATTCCAACCAAACTAGAAATGTACTTCCTGTATAGCTTTCACAATTAATGAATGTTCTGGATGACCATTGAATATGAAGCATGCATATAACACAACAAAAAATTGATAGTTCTAAGTCTCACCTCTACTTCTCCTTGACCTTGAATAAATGGACTGCAGGATTTTTCAATTTGTTTCTCGATATCTGAAATAAATAAAAATATGACATGAAAAATAAATTCATTATGATTTTTCTTACTGTGGTTTCATCAATATTCATTGAGCACCAAATTTCGTGGATTTCGTTGTTGAGCAGATCCACAAATTCAAATGTTCATTGAAATACGAAATATGACATTCATTTGTATAAACAATGCTTTTGTCAACGAAATTTCGTATCCTCGAAAACGTCTGATTTTCAAAATCCACGAAAATTGATGCCAACGAAAATTGATGAAACCACAGTATGCGTTTATCATGTTCATGATTTTTGTTTTTAATCAATATGCACAGTACATTTACAACGAGTGTGCAAATTTTACAAAGTTGATTTTACCATGATCTTATTTGAAATTAGACTTTTACATAGTAAATCGGCTAATGCCCTATCATTATCAGATTAAAATACCTTCACTGGGGTTATCTTTTATGGTCACAAAAGATAACGATTTCCTAGCTGGCCTTTTGTTTTCTTTGTCATCAGGAACTGTAATATTAATGATTTATATGATAGGAATTAGGAAATACTAATTTGGGGATTTTGCATACCGATAATTCTTACATATATAGTAGGTGCTGGCATGAAAAAAGCTCAATGGCCCTGAGTGCCGAGTACAGGACAACATACCTTGTTTTGTCTTTGGTGCAATGGGGACATAAGCACTGCATCCAGGCTGTCCAAAAGTTACAGGTTGAGGCAGCTGTCAATTGAATATGATAATAAATGTTCAAAACACAAGTCAGAATGAAATGATTATTGCATTATTATGACATATGAAGTGAAGTATGAATGGATTTTATAATAGAAGGTGGAATCGGGAATGGCAATCTTAAAATCAAGTTTATAAGCACATAGAACCTCACATCACTAAAAAAAAAAATTACAGAATGACCAAATATTAAAAATTCATAAAAACAATCTTGGGTGGTAAAAGAACTTAATAGACTCCCTAACAATTTAGTCCCTGTTTGGAAGATCTTAATAAACAGTAAAAATCAAATGTATTGGTCAATAAATCATTTTCCCTAAAAGAAAAAATATGTACATTCCCTTTTAGTAAACCAGTGAGATTACATCATTACATGAATTCAATATTTTAGAATTTGAGAAATTCATTTTGGTATTATGAATCTATAACCAAAAAACATTTTCCTTCTGAAAAATAAACATGATAAAACAAACTGTATGCTTATTATTATATGTACCTCGACTTCTCTTGAACAGGTATTGATGGGAACGTGTAGGGGTCGCAGCTTTACAGGTGTAACTTTTCTTACAGGTAGTAGTGGTTTCAAGGGAGCTTCAGCTTTGGTTCTTTTAAAATCGATCCTTGGTGATCCTTCTATTTCTCTTTTAATTCTTATCATTGACAATTTGGATGGTGAAAGAGCGCAGAAACTAAACCTGTACATTAAATGAGACTGTGAGCAAAAACTTTTTAAAAACAATACAATTGTGATTTTGCTTTTGGACAGTAACAATGCGAGACTTTTACAATCTTTATCAACTGATTAGAGTGTAATCATTTACAATCTGGATATTTATTTCCTGCTTTTCTTTTATGGAGCATAGATGCAATTACATATATATTCATAAATTTCCAACCCGGCCTTATTTTAAAAGTGATTGACAGTCAATGAACATGCCATAATTTACATGATTCTTCAAAACAACATACAAGTTAAATTAATGAATTTTTATCTGTGAAGGTTAAGATTGTGTCAATATAATTGGGAGTTTATAATATACGTGTACATTCAAGAAAATTAAGGTAATTTTATGCAAATGGTGTTATTAAAAGTTTTATAGTGCTTAAGAAAATTATGTTTCCTGTAACAATCCCCAAATAACAATCCCCAAATAATGGGTCAAATCTCCTCACTGAATTAACCACGTGTGATATTTTCAAAGCCAAGGGGCAGCCAACATTACAGCACTAGCAGAAAACAACATGGCAGCAGAAAAACTGGCTTTTTTCTTAAAAATTATGTACTACGTAGTAGGTGGACATATTTTATAACAAGACCGAAGACTTGTTTTTTATGGATAAGTTACATCAGCTGGTTGATTAAACATAAAACATGGCAGAAAAATTCCACACGGGGTATTTTATTTTAAACTTACCTTTCCATTGTAGATTGAAGATTTGATCTTAAATTTTCCCTCAATGTTTTGGCATTATTTTCCAATTTCAGCACCTTTTCTACATTCCTGAAACACGTCTGACACACACCCGAGTCGGAGGGAAAACACATGTCCCCAATATCACACACATTCTTCACTAATCCAATTCTTTCAGGTGTAAGTTTTAGTTTTTTATCTAAAAACTTTTGTATAGTTACTTTTCCTTCATT